TAATACTTGGTCTTCTTTGTATTTTAGTGAGCCATTAGAGATACATGAAAAAACATCAGCACAAAAATACATTCCAATATACAATCGTGTCATTTCAAACACCACTGGATTATTATTACTGATTAGGGGGAAAAAAATCCAACAGCTGTCTGGGGAATTCCCTTGATGTCTGGATTACTGATTTAATAGCTACACATTGTCTAGGTCCTACAACTCCACTAATGTTTGAAAATGCTGTACATGAGTTTACATTATTATTTTTTCCTATTACTGCACAAAAATCAGGTATTTTAGTCTGATTTTTAGGTGAATTCAAGATTAGCTGTTACTTCACTCCACACAATAGGACTATGAAATAGCAATTGTATCTTATAAAGTAAAAACTAAGATGAGTATTTAGAGCCAAAAGAAATCCAAGTTTTCAGAAAGCTGCTAAGTATTAAATTTCACGTACAACTCATTCCAAAATTCTGCTCTTCTTTCTCTCCCCTCCAGGAAACTAGAACTAGAAAAGCAAAGCAGAAATTTAAGGTAGGGAAACTATTCAAGTGTGAAGGGGCTGTAATTGTTACAGTTGCTTAGGTTACGGTGATATGCTTTGGATGCAAGTTTGACATTCTCTCTGGTACATTTAGAATAAATAAGTAAACAAACAACTGCCTGCTAGCGTTAAATTCTTTGCCTTCATCTGCAAGTGCTGCAGTCAGCCTGTCTCTGGTTTACTTCCTTATGACTGGGTTCAGCCTGTGGTTTTTGTTCTGCACGGGGCTCCCTGTGCATGCCCTGCTTGTGAAGCCCGCCGATAAGAGGCATGGTGTGAATGGCAGCTTATGTCACGTGGACCACGAAATATGGCAGCGCTGTGTGGCACACTGCAGCAACGGAGGCAGCTCCAGTGGTAACACACATCTCCTTCAAGGGTGGATTGGACTGCTTTGGATTCTTGTGCCTAAGAACGCGGGTGTCGACTGAGAAAAGTACCAGCATTCAGACCCAAGAGTGTAAACGTGGTGCAGTAAACAGTCTCTCCATGACCACTTAACCTGGAGCAGGGCAATCTAAGCAGTACAGACTGTCCTGGTCAAATAAACTAGCGTACAAGGAAGAATGACACACTTTGTGTTATATCGCCTCTGTGAAGCATCCTTCTTTCCTAGGATGGAGGTACAGCAGGCAGCATCAAGTCCTGTAAAGGACTTTTCCTTTTAGGGGTGGAATCAACAGTGGTAATATTTTACTACAGGCCTCTCTCATACATATGAAAGTTTAAATGAATTTAGCTCTACCGCATACCAAAGACACTATATAGTGCTTAGCATGATTCTTGGTCTAAAAATGGTAAGCATTTTTGCACATATATAAGGATACTTATTTGTTTAGCATGGGCCTTATTTTAAAACAAACAAACAAAAACAAATACTGAAACTTGAGCAAAGTTGCCAGCGGTTGTCTGTTTGGCCTGATACATTTGCAATGATTTTTATGGAAGAAAATGTTGCCCTAAACCACTATTGTTCCTCTGTTTCTGACAAGTAGTGTTATATATACAGTGAAATCCTGTCCCTTCCTACAATGTTGGCTGGTGATAGTATTCTAGGTCTCTACTGAATGTCACAACTTTTGAGAAGCATGGAAAATTCTCTGTAATGAATCTTTAAGCCAATAAGAAGACATTGTGAATAAAAAATGCGTCCAGAAGTGTAAAGATAATAGCTTAATATAAAAATCTCATGCTTTTATATTTTTATTAGGGGAGGAGAGGGAGATCACAAAAGAGGGACATAGGTAACAATTAAATAACACATGTTCTTTGGTCTAATCAAAGGTAATAGGTAACAATTAAATAACACATGTTCTTTGATCTAATCAAAGGTAAGCAGTTTATATTTATCCTCAGCAGTCTTCTGTAAGAGACTCTTCTAACATCATACCAGCTTATGCACACCCTTCTGTCCTGAACCAGTCCTACCAACTACATTGATTGAGCTCTTTGGTTCTGTGATCTACCTCCTCCACTGGAAGAGCAACAATGGCAATGCAATGAACCACTTAATTTGGAATCTAGCATTTCTATTTGAGTCATTTTATTCTGGGACCTTGTAATCTTCAAAAAACAAAGAAAAACTGAAACACTTAGAAAATACAGAATTATGGTGTACTACTCTAATTATGGAGGTCCCAAGCAATAGGTCCCAAGTACAGCTCATTATGCTCACAAACATCAATCTGTTTGAAATCTGTATCTCATCTGATGTACGCTTCATTTCAAAATGACAAAACCATTTTAATTTTACAGTCCTGATATTTGAGTCACCTTTTTAAAAATGATTAAATGGAAAATGGGAACCTGCTGACAAATAAAGTTGGCTTAATCTTATACCATACCAATGCTGTGCTTTCAAATGCTTTTTTTTTTTTTCTCAGATAAATACTGAGATAAATTTTCCTACCTCCTTATGTATCTTGCTATTGGTTGTTGTCTATACTATAAGCCTATTCTCTACCCAGTTACCAACTATGTATTAGAGAATTAACCACAACTGTTAAGGTCACATCAGGTCAACTTTAAAGTGATAAAACCTTAATGGAGTAAGGGATCGAGAATGTAATGAAACCTCTCATTTCTATTTTCTACATCTCAGGAACAACACTTTAAAGTTCACTAAGAAATACTTATCTAAACATACTAATCTTTTCATATTATTTCAAATACAGGTAGTTGAATTCTAAATCCAGTTGATACAATATTTAAATAAAATGAAAATCATATTAAATAGATCATGTTGTGGATCTTATAAAAATTGTGCAAATCTGCAATCCTAATATATATATGTATGTTATTATTCTGAGAGGGCTCTAAACAAAAAGAACCTCATGTTGCTGTGTTTAACATATTTAATCATTTATGATTTAATAAATTACCCCTCTTTTGTTTATTAAGATTTAGCTAAAAGCTGGCTAGAAAACCAGTAGCTCTAATCTCTTTAATCTCAACCAGTGATTTTGTTGCCTCAGTATCTAACTAGTAGAGATCCTCTAGCTAATACTTTTGGTATTTTTAAGGTGTTAGGATCTTATAGCTATATTGGATGAGAACTTTAAAAACAGTAAGAATATTAATAAGATTATATTTTAGTTCTGCAAAAATAAATAGTACTTTTCTTTTGAAAAAAAGTATTTGTTATTGTTTGGAAAAAGCATATTTCTCCTTGTAGCTTTCATACTGCCAACCTTCTTTGGCTCCTCTGTTTCTCTCAAAATTCCCCAGAACCTCACTAAACTATACTAGAGAGGTTTCTAAAACTTTGCTTTGGTTATGATGCTTCAATCTCCCGTGGAATCTACAATTTACTTAAGAAAATCAGTCTTTCCCACCCCGGAGGCTTGGTTTCTACTTTTGACCTTGCCTTTTCTTCTTTCTCCAAATCAAAAGCATAACAGAGGGAGTTGAATTCTGCATGTCTTCTTTTGATAGGCCACCATTAACCTCTTGCTATTCTTATTAGTAAAACAAAAAATTTGTAAAAATTACTGTAGTGGACTGACTTCTTGGTTGACAATTTTTTTCAAAATCTCCGTAACTTTTTTCATAGGCTCTTTTCCCCCTTTGTGTCAATACCTTTGTATCAATATTACTGTTAAGCACTTTCATTTTCTATATTGATATTTCTATTATTTGCCTCCCACGAATCACATTTCCCTGTCTTTCATTTCACCTCCATTTATCCCGTTACACTGCACGTCTCAGTGCCCAAAGTTAATCTCCTCCAAGCATTTCTTCTGTTTTACAACTAATAGTTCTGCAGAAATCTTTCAACTACACACAGACCTTCTATTTCCAGTCAGCTAAGCCCTTCTTATTTCCCCTGAGCAAATCTCTTCATTAAAATCATATATGGTCCGTGTGACTCAGTGTAAAGAACTGTATTATTCTTGTTATATAGATAACCTAGCTACCTAGATAGGCGCAGGATGGTGGGGCAGTATCTGTTAGAAACCTGGGAAAGGAAACTGGAGTGAATGAGCAGGTGAGTGGGAGGGTGACGGATGAGAGTGCAAACGGGCTCGTGGGTGACTGCAAAGGAGAAATGCTGCAAAATCAAACAGTGTGGGGGTGAGGGACAAAAATAATGGAGAGATGCAAACACATGGCAGAGGACAAGGCTAAAAACAGACAACAATCACAGAAAACCGGGAACAGAAAATGCAGAGAAACAACAGCACAAAAGAGCAGTAAATAGGGCGGAACAGGGGTCACAGTGCAGCAAATGCAGAACTTTAATACACTGAAACGAAGGGCTGGTGACAGGACAATATGTAGCAAGGCCAAAAGGCTCAAACAGAAGGGTTGTAATAAATACTTATTACAACAGTTAAATGTAGTGCCACCTCAGACCTAAGCACTTCCCCCTCACCCAAAGCCATGGCAGTGCAGTGCCATGCCAGGAGCCAGCTTATCCCTGGCCTCTGGTCAGGGCTCCTGTCCCCACGTCCTCGGACTGCAACCGTCACAGCGGTCCTGACACCACACGGGGCGAGGGAAAGGGGGCCCAAGTGTTTCAGCCTCCTGCCATCCGGCAGCAAGGGATGAAACATGGCTGCCCCCGTCCCTGCCCTCCGTATCCAGCGGGCAGGAGGAGGCTTGGCCAGGGCTACAGGCCGCGGCGGGAGTAACGCATGCCGCGACGCGGCCGTGCCTCTGGGCCACGGCGGAGGAGGGGACGGCGGCAGCCGGTTGCCCTGGCGAAGGAGACGCCACGCACCAGCCTCCGCCTGAACAAAATGGCGGCGGGCGGCGGCGGCGGGGTGCGGCGGTGCGGGGGCCGGCCCGGGGTAAGGCGGCGGGTCGGGCACGGGGAGACGAGCGGGGGCCGCGGGGCACGGTGGCCGTGCCGTGGCCACCACCCCATGCTAACTCGTCCTCGCCGCAGGTGCGGAGAGCGCTCGGCGGGCCCGCGCCGCCAGCCGCCGCGGGGACCAGCGTGGTGAGCGCAGACTTGCTGGCCAAGGAGGCGGAGTACAAGTAAGGAGGCGGCCGGGGGCGGCGGCCAGGCCCCGTCAGTTTAGCCGTAGCCCGCTCGCTGCTGGCTGTCCGGACGGAGTTTGCAGTTAACACCCTGTATCCGGGTCCCTCAACTCGTTTCCCCAAAGCGAGCAGATGGGAGTACCAAAAGCAAGGTTTTAACTTTCTCCCGCCGCGGTACAGGCTTCCTGCCGCCGTTTTACACACTGCCTCGTGGGAGGCTGTGCTCTGCTCTAGGCCTCACTTGGATCCCACAACATTGGACGTCACATTTTTCTGCATTTAAAACACTGATATGACATCTAAGTTATGAATATGCTTAAGCCTGTTAAAGAAAGCTTAAAAGCTCTAAAGCTTGTGACAAATGCAGTGAAAGCACATTTAAAAGCACTTGCTTGGTTACTTGTCAGTTCTCAGCCCCTGTGAATAGTGAGGATGTACAAGGATGTCTCAGAAACTCATTTAGTCACACTTCATGAAAAGCTATAAAGTGAAGCATGCAAAACACAAGCTTATTCCAACCTGTACATATGTACAGCGACACATCTTGGTGATGTGATCAGGTAGTGTAATCATATACGTCTTTCCCCAACCCCTGCTGCTAAGTACACCTAAAGGACTGTTAAAGCTTTGAGGAAATAACAAAATGTGTATTAAGCAATGACATGGCCAAAAACAAGGACGCCCTTTACCGTTCAGAATTATAGCTTAAAAATAACTGTTTAGTGGGTATAGGTGTTTTATTACTATTGATTTGAGAGAAACCCAGGAAGTTGGTAACCCTGAAGTATATTTTGATGTTCCTTCACGGGAGTTACTAAAATTTTGCTTAGTTCAGGCAGAGATACTGTCATGCTTACATTATTTCCTTTAAATATTTCAAAAACTCAGGGACAAGCATTCTTGCTCTTTCAGGCAACTGAATGCAGAATTAGAAGCAAAAACAGAAAAACTGGTGCGTCAGGCTGAAGAAGTAATGGTGAGTAGGTTATGCAGACTGTTACATAATTTAGCTTTGATTCACATGCACACAATATCATGTTTCAAAACAAATTACTTAGACCTAACTATAAGTATTTTGGTTTCAAATGCAATCTAAGCTTTTAATTTCTTTTTCTCAAAATTTTATACTTCTACTAAAACCACACATCCAAAACCAGATTTTATATAATTTCATCAGGTAGGTAGAAGTTCACACAGATGCATAGAGCATTTGTGTAGATATATACCTAAAACTACATTAAAAACTTGTTTGGTTGTTTAAGAAAAGTATCTGTAGGTGTTTTTATGTCTTGAATACTAAGGAAAAAAAGTATTTGCAAACCAGATACTGTTGCAATAACATCCTAGTGAAATAGGATCCACATTGTTCAAGCTGAAAGAAATACAAAGTATAAGCAACATAAATAGAAAATGTATAGTTATTAAGATGGAAACTTTCTGAGAAAATTTTCCTGTTTATTGTCAATATTGTCTTTTAACATTGGTGTGGCTGGATATCAGATAGAGTCAAGTTTTTATGTGAAAATTGGACAAATTTAGAAAAGGGAAGGGGAGAGGTATGGTTTATACCCAAAACTGTTTGGAGGTGTTCTGCATATTAGATACATTCATTGTAAATGCACTCACTTAGATAAATAAGGCTTAAAAAGCAAATTAAGACTTCTGGAAAGCTATACTTGTATGTACTTTTCCTACCGTTGAAACTTCAATTTTATGTCCTGTGAAAACATATTCTTATCTTGAGCTATGACAAGTTGAGGCTAACTGCTTGGCATTTGAACAGAAGCAGATGAAGCAGCCAAAATAGCATCTAGTTTCTTTCTTTTAAAAAACAGCAACAATAAACCCATCCTTTTTTTTTTTTTTTTTCCCTCTCTAAATACAGCAGAAGATCAAATATTCTTAGGACACTTAATATACCACATGGCACTGCCAGATTGCACAGATATACATTTAACAACAAAAGAAAAACAGTCAAAGTTTAAAAGAAAAAACAAAAATAAAACCAAAAAATCAAAACAGGATAACTGCATTTTTTTTCTGGATTATGCTTTCTAACTGTAACTTAGCAACATAGAAGCTATCCGAACATTCAGACTGAATTTTTCTCTAAAGTACATACAACATATCAGTGTCTAATTATGGTCATATTGTATGAATAAAGATTTCATTTTTAAGGCTTACTGTGCAATATAGAAAACTGAAAATTTGTTCCACCTGATGTGCATTTTCTACTACTGCATTTCAGAGAAAAAAGAGGGAGGGTAACAGCATCTCAGATGATGTTAAACTCAGCAAAAATTTTACAGGCAAAAGGCAATTACATGTTGCGGAGCAGAAATAAATGTTGGAGATAACAATGGCATTTTAATTTTTCACTCTTTTCCTGTGTTTGAGAAGTTCTTTTCCACATTAGACTACAGTTTTAATTATTTTCCATAGTAGACTGTAGTTGTTGTGATCTGTGATTTACAAATATATAGTTCCTTGTTAATGGATTATCTTCCCCTCAAATTGACAATTTTTTTTTTTTTTTAAATAAAGAAAGGCCAACAGGAGATACTATCTAGACCAGTTTCAGTACAGACTAAGTTGTGTGAAGTCGACAGACAGAGGTATGTTCTTTACAACTGCTGCATATAATTTGTGGGGAATCTTTTAAACTGGTCTAGCACACACACGCTGCCTTGTGCCCTAGTCATGCTCCTGTTTTATCTGTCCTTGCAACATACTGGATTAATTAAGTCTAAACTTTTTCCTATTATTTGAAACAATTGGTACTAAGTAAGTGTAGTTCCTTGTTATTTCAAGGAAGTCTTAGTTTTGCTGAAATGTTCTATCTAGGATGCTGACTAGTGCTAACATCTGTAAAAAAGCAAGGTAAGGTAACAGGTTTTTTTGCAGTACAAAACAGTAGACACTCAGCAGCAGACAGTTTATAACCAGTTCAGCTGACAAAGCAAAGAAATACATACTGGCTCACATTTAACTTGGCCTAAATGTTCCTGGGACAGGAAGTGCTTGATAAAAAAAAAAAACAAACAAAAAAACAACAAACCAAAGCAAACAGAAAAATATGACAGCCAAACATTCAGCTGCCACCCTCTGGAACTTGGATATCATTACACTCCTGAAGCTGACATACCTTTGGCCTGTATGAACACACTTCACAACTGTGGGTTTTGGCCTGTGTGTTCAAATGCATTACCTCTGGGTACATAACCATATTTACTTAGTTGTTCAGGGGCATTATTATTCACTTAGTTATTCAGGGGGTTTGTATATTGATAGTACAGGAAGTGGGTGAATTTAAGATAGACTAATACACAGTTTATCAAGGATCTGATCTGGTAGGTTCCTAAATTTATGATTCCACTAATCTGGATAACAAAGATACAGGGCCAGACTACAGGGTGCTTCAAATGTTAAGCTGCAGTTGGGAAACTGTTTTGAAATCGTATATATGAAAGTCTGCTAGAGATGATAAGATAATTACTTGTGTGCAGAGTAAAAGCAAAACCAAAAAAGGAGGGGGTTTTGTGAACACAATACACAAAAAGGTGTAACAGCAAGTCTGTGATAGAAGCCTGGCTATACCAGCAAATGTTTGCTACTATAGTTAAAATTATTCCTGAGCTATTTTAAAGCTCTATCTGTCAGTTGTAGAGGGGAAAAAAAAGAAACTCCATGTGTTAAAAGCATAATCATGCTTTGCAAACAAATTCTGGATCTTGCTTTAGTTTTATGTTCTGCTAGATGGATTTTGAACAGTAGACAGAAGATTGTTAAGAACTTCAAACTGGAGATGAGTTACAGGGCTGTTTTATGAAGTAACATGATCGAAGGATTCAGCCCCACAAAGGGGGTTAACAGCTTTGATAGTACACATTTGAAATAAATGGGAGTGCTGGAAGAATTAAAAAAAATACTGGCAATTAGCATGTCAGAGTAGCAACTGATCTACCAGTTACCTACATAAATTAAAACACCTTAAACCAACCACAGTCTGTGTTCTGGTAAACATTTACATGAGAGAAGAATTGAAATCCCTCAGGTACTGAAAAAAAATTAGAAATGTGTGCTAGATATTAGGCTCACTGAGTATCCATGAGTGAACATTGAGGTCATTCAATTAGATTAGATCCAAGTATTTAATACTTAATTTGAAAAAAAAAAAAAAATCAAAACTGTGCAAGCAGATAGGCCATAAATCTAAAGGAAGCACTTGAGATATTTTTGAAATATGCATTTGAAATTTTCATTGATTCCTTTAAGGGGAGTGAACAGTAAAGCAACTGGAAAGAAGGGGAGAAATTGAAGCAAAAGAAGAGGTAATAACAAGGAAAAAAAAAAAGGTTAAGAGGAAAAAAATGAGTAAGCAAAGTAAAAAAAAAGGCAACAAATATTTAAGTCACTCTCCAAGCTAGTTTATATTTTAAAATAAGTGTTCTGGCATTTTTGGGGCATAATTTTAGCAGAGAAACTTGAATTACATAGAGACAAAGCAGGTCCAGTGACACTGCACTGAAATCAGCTTTTGTTTACACTTTTCAGAGCATTGCCAGGCTCATGGCGTCGGAACTGTTCGCGCATGGGCAAGCATGCTATAGGCTTTGAATAGGATTAACAAATAACAAAGGGTTTGCTCATGCACATGCATCTTGTGTTTACATGCAGAGATGGAATTGTTAAGCCTTAGCTTCTGTTTCAGTGTTGCCACAATACTCTAGCTACTTATTTGTATACCTTTTCAGGATTTATGCATTAATTTCACTTACCAAACAACTATAGAACTGTATTCTGAGGTTTTAAAAATGGGTTGTTGGGTGTGGGGAAGAGGAAAGAAACTATTAAGATTAAACAAGTTTGAGGAATTTAGTGAACAATGAGGGGGATTTTTTTGAATGTTTTGCTTTTCTTGTTTTTTTAAAAAGAAGGCCCTGAAACAACAGATGTAGTAGGAACAAATTAGTCTATTGATCTTGAGTATAGAGTCTGTTGCATTTTCATATTTTTAAGAATAACATATAACTGCTATTTCTGTGGCAGCAAATCCTCACTTTCTGCATGCTCCTAAAACTAGCCAATAGGAAGGAAGCATGAGGAAAATAGGGTAAAAAACCTCAAAAACTAATCATCTTATTCTTGAAGTCTGTTGCCAACCACACACAGATGATTTATCCAGTTGGTTTTGGTTTTTTTTTTTTTTTGGATTAATAAAATATGGAGCTTTGTGCAGATAATTCTTGTTGATGAATGGATGTCTGTGAAATTTTTAAATGCAAGATGTAAATATTTGCTCAAATCAATTGGGCAAAAAAAATGGGGTGACCTGATGTGCCTGAAATTTAAATTATATTCCAAATCTTTTATAAGACAGCATTTTAATTGAAATTAAAAAGGGTCGTAAAAAAGTAGCCTTTCAGTGTAATAACACAGATTCACAAAACTCGTTCTGAAAGCAAAAAAGTTATATATATGACAAGAAACCTGACCTGAATAGCACACAGCATGCTAAAACTTTCTGCTTTTTTCCGGCAGATTTTAAAAATAATAATTTAACCTGAAGTTCAGTTACTAAGAAGCATAGTGTTCAGTCAAATAAGCATATAAGTAAGCTGCTTTTTTATTCCTGTTTTTTTCATCTGTAAAATGGATACAGTTTTTGTAATATGTATTTCAGAGACAATTCTGTGAGGCTTAATTTATAAATTGCTCCTGCCTCATATTCACTTGGTAGTCACTGTCCATTGACTCGACAACAGTCAATCTGAGCATACAATTGCACTCCCTCTTAGGATGTAGAGGACACTGGCTTATATCTTCATTTCTGTTGTATTAATTCATGGATTTGTATGTCAGGTAGGTATGTTAACCACTGTACTGTTGATGGTAGCGCTTTGGTAGCAGATTGTCAGTGTCTCTTGTTGAAGCTGGACACACTCTGCATACTGGCTAAGTACTCCCTGGTAAAGGGAATCATTGATCTAATAAGCTGGTAGTTGCAGCCATCTCTGGAATTGCAAGAGATGAGATTCAGATTCTGGTACATCAGTAAACTGTTGTATTAGATACTCTAGATTCAGCAGGTGATTTAGATAGCAGATGAGGTAGAATGGAAAGACAGAGAACGAGACTGAATTTATGACTGAACTTGGTATACATTCCCACCTTACCTATACTGTTTATTCTAGACATATGTTATTCTCCTGATTCTGACAGGGGAGTTGAAATTTTATTGTAAAATGTTAATTTTGTTATACGTGTTCAGTGATATTTTTTTTTTTTTCTGCAGAGATCCACTCTGTCCTGAAGTTTCATCTCTTACACACTCACATGCCAAGGTATCAAAATCAAAACTATCCTGGTTAATTTCTCTTGTAGTATCATTTCCACGTATTACTTCTGGTTTTGAACCTGTGCTGCACTGGGGACTTACACGGGTGGGAAGCCAAAAGAAAATGATGTTCAAAGCTGTGCTGCAGGGACAGTGTTACCAGGGTTTCTCAGTGCCACTGGTAGTTAACTGGACTTGCATCATGTTTAATTTTTGTGTTCTAAGTTTCCTCTGCTGTAAAGCATTGGTGGAAGTGTTCAGTGTTTTGAACATCAAATTAAGAATTCCAAGTGCAAAATATTAGAGTGTAATTCATTTCTTCCTTTCTCCCCTTCTCCCCCCCAACCAGTATAATACTAAAGACAGTACTACTGTCTTCTAGATGTAATAATAAACAAGTAGTCAAAGTAACTGAATAGAGGAAGGGAAATATAATGGAAAAAGGATATTAGGATTAGGAACAAACTTGATAGAATCTAATTAAAATTACATTGAAACTTTTAGGAGGTGAGCTAAAGCTTCCAAAATACTGTCTTCAATTATTTATTAGAATACAATAGAAAACCCCCTAATTTTTAAAGAATATTTATTTGGGTGAAAGTAACAAAAATATTGTCAGATCTTCCTTCTACAGAGAATTTATAAGGTTAAAATAATGCATAAAAATAGCATGTTTTTAAAGGTATGATAAGCAGTTTTCAAATAAATGCACTCTGTTGACAGTCTGATGGTTAATATCTTGATAATAGCTGAGAGTCTTGCTTATGCATGAATTTATTGTGGGTATGTGTGCAAAAACTTCCACAAGCAAATGACTATTGGATGTATTATCATTTGGGCATACAGACATAAAAGTTACAAGATAAAGAGGAGTGCAAATAAAACCGAAAAACTGCTTTTGAAAGTTTGAAAAGCATGCTTTGAAAAGTGTCCTTGAGTCTGAATATATGAAAAAAAAAAAATTAAAAACCCACAGAAAACACTAGAAAAAAAGAAACTCCTAACTAATTAAAAAAAAAAATTACTACTTTCTGAAAAAAATTTGTAGCTAGCAAACAAGAAGAAATGTGCTTCCGTGCCCATGGCTCAGAACAGACCGTGCTCTGGAAGTAAGGGAAAAAGAACAACTTCAAGGTATATTATACACATCTCTCTGTAATAAAATATTTTAGGTACTATTTTTGTCTATCAGGTTATTTTTATTCATGTATGCTTCTATATTTATATATATTTGTGTAAATAATTTATCAAACTTTTGGTCCTCCTCAGTCAGCTCCACCATGTAGCTATCTGTTTACTTGCATAGAGTACCAAAAATTATTAGTGAGCATATGCGATTAATATTACAACAGTGAAGCTGTTGCTTTCTGCTCAAGCACTTCTCAAGGCTGACAGCTAATGTTAACCGCTTCAGTGAAAGGATGTGTAATGAGCATAGATGTGGGAAATACGTCATCGGAGGCACTCTGAGAGACGCTTGCTGCAGACTGATTTGCGATCAGACTGGTGATGGGAAACATGAGGCCCTTCAGGATCTCCTCTATTTTGGTGAATCTTGGGCTCACAGGACAAGAGAGAATCAGTAATAGTACCAGGGGTTTCAAGCTGAAAAGCTTCAGCTCTGTAGATAGCAAATTCAAGGTTGTAAAAGCAAGAAATGGAGATTTGGACTGAAAAAAAAAAAAAAAAGAAAAGAAAAGAAAAGGCAAAAAAGGGTAGAGAAATACACATAATCCTGGGAGCAAATTATACATGCCACAGGATATGGACAAATACCAAAATAGGATAAAAATTTGCAAGGTGGCAGAACATGGAATTGACACAGGCCAAGGTTGTCTTTCAGGACTTGGAAGTCACTTGTGAACCCTTTGGACCTCCCTTGGGCAGGTCAGAGGAGGCTGTCATGCTGGCACCACATCATGAGGTTTAGAAGTGGAATCACGGAGATATGAGACCTGCAAGATGAACCCAAAGTTGTAGGAGAAAGTTAGCAGCTAAAAGGAGTTTGGATGCTGCACTGGAATGAGGATATGTTGGAATAAGAACTTAGGGGCTTCAGATCCTGTGGGAACTAACGTAATCTTTTTATAAAAGCAAGCTGAGGAGATACCCTGTGTAGCAGATGTGTCACATACCTTGTGTTGTGGTTTTATAAAAACTTTGGTATGCAAATTCCAGGATCAGTGAAGTTTCCTAGTCTAGGCATAATGATAAAAAAATTGCGGGAAGGTAGGAGTATAGCTAGAGAGGACGGACTTCTACAAGTTAACATGTGGGGGGGAAAAATAGCAGAATTTAAGGCACAGGATAGTAGCTAAAGCCAAGAGAATATTCCTCTGTTTCTCTCTTTTACTCCGATTTAGTTATGAAGTTGTTGGATGAGAAGACCATGACAAAATCTCTGTAGAAAATGGTATTGGTTTCCCTGCCTCCTACATTGTAATATGTAAAATCCTGTAGTGGTTTATGTGGAATATGGTAAAGGTATCTTACATAAAGAAAATGAGAAATTGCTATCAATGCATCTTCCATATGAATGCAAGCAATGAAGCTGCATTAGGTAAATGACTCTGTCTACTCTTAAAAATAGCAAATGTGCTATATTTTTGGTTGTTTTGTTTTTTTTTTTTTTGTAATGTAAATATAAAATCTAGAGTTTGCTTTTTTTAGTTCAAGAATAAGAAACCTGGAAGTACAAAGTGCCGATGATGTTGCAGTACTGGAGGACTGCATAGATTTTTCTTTAGCAAAAACAGTAAGCAAAATTGAAGAAAAACTAGACAAGGGAGACTTACCAGATTGTCTAGATGATGATATTATTCCAAATGTTGAAAATGAAGTTGGAGCAGGTACGTTTCCTCCCATGGTTAAGTATTTTTATTCTTACTTCCTCATTGTTAGAAATGGGTTCTTCTGGGGAAAAAAGGAAGAGTTTCTGTAGAAATTACAGGGAAAGTTCTAAAGCCCTTAAGTTAAAGGAAAAGGAAAAGAAGACTTTTCTTTCTGTAGTCCTAGAGGAAGATCAGGTCACATATGAATATTCATGGGGAAAAGTGAATTTTTATCTTGATTTCCACCTTTATAGGAAGATATTTGGATGGGTACATATGTTGAATATGTGCATAACATTTGATTCATTTCACTGGGGAAGTAGAAATACATGATGATAAACATCTCTTTCTGAAAAGATGAGCTTCGGTCCTCTGGACAGATTCTGCCTTCCGAGGAAAACGCATTTCTTAGATTAATGCCATGGATCTTAGTAAGTGGCTTAAATGAAGTAATGTTTCAGCTACAGCGCTTGAATGAAAATCCTCCAGATACTTTCCCACTCCAAATGGTGGGTTTATGTTTCTCCTAGATATAGAGTAGGAAAGGGGATTGTGGCATTTGCCAATTAAGCTAAAGGCATGATGCACATCTGTCTTTTTGGCTCTGGTGTGATAAAAGTAAGTTTATGTAGTTATTACAATACTAAAGCAAGCACGAGATTCACTGCGGTAGTACAAAATGTAGAAAACCTCTTCTTTTAATCTAACAGCTTGATGTCAACAAGCATGCCAACACAGAAATACCTTGATTTCTAACCTTGTGTAATTCTGTGCACACCTTCTGTTAATAAGTCCCCACAAACAGATCCTCAGATATCTTTTTTATAGTTCTTGTTCCTAAACTAAAAATAAAATGCTATGGACTGCACTGGAAGCTTACACCAAATATATTCAAGATAACTCAAAGAGAGTTACTACTGATGTCTAGTAGTGAGGTCTTGGGGACCAGGGGCATATATTTGAGTACTGAGAATTGTTTCTGTAACTTTAAATTAAAATACTCTGAATTGATTTTTGCTTTTTAAATTTGATATTGACTATTTAGAACACTCTGAATGCCCCCTTAATGTGCTAAATAAGTTATTGCAGAGCATGCCAGCAGTGTCAAACTCACAGAACAGTTACAGTTTTCACAAAGAAGTTGATGTAGATACTAAACAGGTTTGTTACAGAGTAGGCTTATCCCTTAGTGGGACTCTCCTAGTAAGGGATTCCTTAGGCTTATACACCTGGGCTAGACTTTTTAGGTCAATGAGCTGATAAGGTTCCATAGCATTGTCCTTTCCCTAAGCTTTGCAGTGCTTTTCCTGGACTTAGGTCCTATATCATTATATCATAATCACAAGTTATTACAGTGCAGCCATTCTTCTGCCAACACATTAGCTTACACATTATTTTTCTCAGGGGCTATTTTTGTGGGTTATAACTCAACTCTGCAGTAACAACCAATGGTAGAATCACAGACACATAGAAGGCTAAAAATTAAGCTCTATTTTTATCTACCATACCCCCACACCTATGAACAAAATACCTGAATGTGCCATAACACTTCACATTAATCTTCAGATGATCTCAGGAATTCAAAACAGCTATTCTACCTTGTAAGGTATCAGAATCCCTCAAATGTCCTCTTCTTGTTTACCATTCCCAAAACGGTTGGTTAACTTTCTAAGCTAAGACCACCCTATTAAGTGATACCCCTCCCCCTTATCAGCCTCATCAGGTGATTAAAATGGACCAATTAGGAATCTAATTGTTTAATGAACTTTATCTCTTGTGAGAATTCAAACTGATTTTGGATCATAGCCACCTTCCAAGGCTGATCTGGTTCTAGTTGTGTTCTTGGATTTTCAACAAGGTTTACTACTAAGTGCTCTTAATGATATAGAGTTGTCTAAGACAGAAGTTGTCTGTGGACTACTAGCTGAGTAAAAAAAAACAAAATGGAAACAAAATGGTAAAAAGAAAGAACCAATTTTTGCTCAATATACAGAAAAATAATCTGGAGAAAAGGAACAATAGGTGGTAAAGAAATTTGTAAATGAAACAGTGATGTTATTACAGTTAAAACTGACATTAAAGTGTTGTAGAAGAACCTCAAAGTACTGAGTGAGGTAATAGAATGGAGGTTTATATTCAGCACTAAAGACTGCAAAGTAATGCTGATAGAAAAAACAACTCCAATTACACCTACTCCTGAGCTAGACTTTGTTTAGTTGTTACTAATTAAGACATCTCCAAAAGCATAAACTAATTGCTTGTTCACAGTGGAAAAGGCAAACTGATTGTTAGAAATCCTTCAGAAGATAACAGAAAACAAAATATTGTACTGTTATCATTATGCTATTGTATAATTGATGCTATCCCATCTTGAGTATGTCTTATGGTTCTGTACACCCCATCTCAAAACCGGGATCCAGAACTAGGAAGGACACAGCAAAGAGTATATAGTAGCAATTAGAAGTGTGGAACAACTTGAATTTGAATCTTCAATTTGAAAACAAAACAACTGAGGGCAGTATGAAAGGTTCTGTAATGAAAACAGCAGTGGTAAAGGGAAAGCTGTCTTTTTGTAATGCAAACATAAGTAAATGCCACATTAAATTGGATTTAAAGCAAGCTATGCAAAGTGTTTTTCTTTTACATAATGCATCATTAAATTAGCCAACTCATTGCCATAGGATATTGTGAATGTCAAACTACAATAAGTTTTATAAAGAAAATCAAACAACTTAATAGTATTGAAGTACATGAAAGAGTATTAAACTTGATGGCTTCAATATGGCCTCCATCTCAGGGTAGCCACTGTTACCAGAGTCTAGCAAGGATGTAACTGGAGAAAAAAGTCAGTCTGTATCTTACTTTTTCATGGTATTTTCCTAAATCCTACTTATTATTGGCCTCTGCAGAGTTACTATTTAAGTTGCAATTGACAGTTGATAAGGGAAGGTGGGTGAAATTAAAATACTTCTATTACAGCAAATGAACATGTGTACCTATCCATCCCTTCATGTTCAGCTCCAGATACTCCTCCTCCATTTAATTATTTTCCCCTGTACCTACTGTGAGAGATGGTTATTCCTATGTTGCTTGAGTTGATTCTCACAGTAGTTCAGGGGCAGTTCTTTGTGAGTGATCTGAGGAAAAGGTGGGTGTAACTACTTGAGTGTAACTACATGGATTGCAGCTACAGATTGATTGCAATGTAGACATACCCTACAGTATAGTTATCTTGAGTTCCATCTCAAGTAATGCTGTAATACGTAGCATAGTATGGTTAAAGTTTCCAATAAATTTCAATTTTGAGAATTGTGAGTCTTTTACATTTTAAAGATTTCAAGTTCAGTCATTAAAAGGAAAAATCTATACACAGATTTGCCTAAGTGAGAAATTTGAAACATTTATTCAGAAATCTGAGTTTTTATTTGCCTATTTCTCTTTAATAATTATAAAATATGTAGCGTGTTTTTAAAAACAGGAAGATGAAAGTGAGTTCTTCCGTCATCCTTGCTTTTCTGCATTGAATAATGAGTACTTGTGGATATTAAAAGTCACTTTTTCTGTTCACAGAAGCTCAAATTAGATTTCTTAAGGCACAGTTACGTGTTACACAGGAAGAGCTGGATGGTGTAGTGTGTGAATGCAGGAAAAAGGTAAGCCCTGAGTTTTCTCATCTGTAGAAACAGAGTGGGTTCCTCTTTAACAAATAATCACAACAATATTCCCTCAACCTTTTCTTTTCAAGTATTAAGAGCTAAGGTTGTGGTGCTTTTAATTTCATAAGAATTCAGAGTCAAGGATAGTGATTTCTTTATAAATGTGATCTTGAACTTGTGAAATATACTTAATGAAAAAAAATTTGATACAAGAAAGAACCACTGCTCAAACATCTCTTGAACTGTAAGACCTTAGATAGTTTGTGTGTGTCTGCCACAGGGATCACCTCTATTTCATGCATTTGTAATCAAGCAAGATTTTTGAACTAACTTTCCATGTTACACAATTAGATTATTTTTAGTTGTGGTCTCTTAACTTAAGAATGCTTTTTTCCAACTATTCCCCAGGCCCAAATGTGATGATGACATTCAGAATACATGACAAACCACCTACCTGTTTTCTCTCAAGCTTTTAATTTAGAGCTGAGGAGCAGGATTATAGTAAATAAGTTTTTTGAGATAGGTACCTGGAGAAAATCTTTAGAGTTAATTAGATTTTGTTATTTTTTATCTATACTTTAATTTTTATCAGTACAGGTTCTTCTGCATTTCAACACTTTTATGCTGTGATTTGAAGAAATTCGTTACATTAGATTTTAAAGACATTTTTATTTTCAAATCAGATTTTGTAACTAGCTATTGAAATTCATCATTCCATGCCAAAAATACTACAGAATTCAGTTACTATAGCAGAGGACAGAAGATAACCTTGTACCTATTCTTGTCCTCCCCCCATAGCACTCTGTATGTAAATATATAATTTGGGGTACTAGTATCTGATGTGAAAATCACTTTATTACATTCAGGAGGTCACAAAAATTTCATATTGGCAAAGCCTTGAGATAGATTCTGGGTTTTGTTCCAATTCACAGTCCAATTATTGTAAGGAAGCAGTAAATCTGTTTTAAATACAAAGAAGTGGGAGTTTCTGAGGTGTGTACAGTCACATGAAACTTAGGGTAAAGCACATATATTTCCCAGGTGAGACACATATATTCCAGGGGCTGAAAGGACAGGAGAGAAAGACTTGTTCTCATAGAAACCCCATTTCTCTATGTGCCTTGATTTTTTTTTTTTTTTTTTTTAAAGAAATTAAGGGCATAATGTATCTCTGAAATAACCTACATTAGTATTCACTTATAATGTTTAAAAGGTTATAAAAAAAAATGCCTGGAAATAGTAATGCTTAATGTGGGATGTAATTGCCAGTAGGTCATGAATCTAATACAGGATTCACTTGATGTTAAGAGAGTCTTGAATTTGAATACTTGAAGCATCCTGGATTGTTAGCTTGCTTTTAAGTCAAAACCACATAATCTCCTAAAACATAATATTGATTGATTTATCAGTAATTATGTTTTCTTCTTTTTCCCAGAATTTTTCCTAGTGTGCATTTAGCTATTCTCATAAAAATGTCACAAAATAACTATGTGTCAGTTATTCATATTATTCTATAACATTTTGATAGTTAGTTCTCAAAAGCTATGAACTATGAGAAATTAGATGTTTTACATACTGCTACAAGACAGTTCCAAGCAAAAGACTACAGAAAATTAAATGAGAAAAGTGTTACTTTTTTTTTGAAATATTGTCCTGGTAAACTGGTGGTTTGTTTTTTTAGTTTGTCTTAGTAGTTTCCTTTCTTCAAATTGTTGTGAAATCCATCATGAAGGATATAAATATTTTAAAATAACATATTTTTTAAGAACATTTAACTCCATATCTACAATATGTATATTTTTACTGCCTTTTATTTACAAAACATCACTATCACATTATCCTGCTGCTTCCATGCAATAATTTATTTGGGGTTTTGTGCTAATTACTGTCAAACAGGATGATGAAAATCAGAATTTAAAGTCTCGGCTTAAAGATACTGAAGAAGAAAACACCAGACTGCAACGAACAATCAGTATGCAACATTCTCAGACTGAAAGATACAAAATGTTGTCTCAAGAAGCAAACAAAAAAAGTGAAGGGTTACAACAGGAGGTGATTGTGCTACAAAAGGTATTGCAGACGTTAGTCTCATTTATCTCACGGAAGGGGAAAAAATGCATCAAATCACCCTTTGTACCCTAGTGTGATAGATTTGTATCCAGTGTTCCCATTAGCATTTCAATCTCTGATAATAGTTTCAGAAATTGTATTTTTAAATGGTCTAGTCACTTTTTTAAAGGAAGAAGTAATATATTTGCTAATTGCTTTTCTTCTGCTTCTACAATCATACATTTCTATATTTTAAAATTAAATTCTTGTGTAAAAGACCCACAAGAGACAAAACAACCTTTTCAGAAACTGCTATAAAATTCACAAAGGAATCTTGAAAAATACAGGGAAATTTAATTTTTCTGGTTTCAGTTATAATTGTTAAAAATAACTTCTGGTAATAAGAGTTTTACTGCAAACCGTAGAACTTGGTGGACTTTTTGAAAAAAAAACATCTGCAGCTTCTATTAGTCTCTTCTGCAGGTAAAGGAAGGGATGTATCTTTGTTCTTGAAAATGGACTGTTGGAAAACCAGCCACTCCGATTTGGATGAATCAAAATTAACCTGGCTTCTGCTGTAGGCCACATATGCAAAACTGTATATGTGCCTAGATGTAACAGATGGCCTGCATACACAGCTTTGTTTGTTTGGAACTTAATCTAAGAGCAGCATGTGTTTTTCTTTAATTACTCAGATCTAGAGAGGTTGACTTCAAAATCGTATAATATGTATAGTATTGTGTATTACATGTAATATAACAAGGAGAACGTTTCACTTAAAAATTTGGGGAAACAGAACACAACTCAGCCTAACAGAGTCTCATTGTACTTCCATTAAATCATACTATGCACTTGTATAGGCATGCTTTCATCTTAATGGCATTCTGGCCTTTTAAAACTGAGATGTTCTAAGTTTGTGTGTCCTTTCTGTGCAAATACTTGGATGTTTTAAGTTCCCTCGAATAAGTATGCTGATTGTTGATTCTTCCAGGAAAAATACTCGATAGTAGTACTTATGCTACTCATCAGCTCACAGTAAATAAGGCAAAGAGATTTACAAAGTCATTTAGTTTATTGTCTTAAACCAAGACAGGATAGATTCTATCCAAACCATCCTGGACGTAAATTTGTTTAACTTGTGCTTAAAGCCTTCTGTGATAACAGTTTCCATTATTTCCTTAGAAAGTCTATGCTGGTTCTTGTACACCGTCACAGTTAGAAAGTTTATCCCAGTATTTAGGAGATGTCTGTTGTGATGAAAAGTTTATTCACTTCTGCTGTACCTCTACCATATCCAAGATATGGTTCCTTTCCTTGCTTGTCTTTGCTCTGGATTTACCATACACAGTTGTTTCAGTTATTCTTAATACATTGTGTTTTCTAGAATTTCTCAACGTTACTGATCAGACATGATCATGACAGTGGTAGTTCCTTAAAATACTAAGAAAGTGAAAAAGGCAAGCATATGTAATGAATGATTCTCTGCTAATTCATAAGTTATTTTACATATTTTTTTCTGATATAAAAAACTACCAAAACCATGCACTTAAAAAGCCTTTTGCAGTAACTGCTTAAATCTCCTATTTACTTCACAATCTGAAAACTGTTTTATTCTTCAGGTATGAAGTATTATTCAACACTATATAATTAGTGTAGTTGTAGATTAATTCTAGACATACATTTAAAAACAATTTCCTGTGAACATGTGCCTGAATTTATACTGCTGTGTTGCTAAACTCTCAAGACTCACACTTTCAGTCTAGACAGAGTTTTCTGTATAGTTGAGATAACACAAACGTAACCTGATTTTTGGGCTTTTATTGCTTTTGTTGTGATGCAACATAAATGACAGAAAACTTAAATTATGATACATGCTTTCCCAAGCTTCCTTAGATTATCAACAATTTAGGGAATTTCATTAAGACCCCTGCAATGTTTTTTGTATGTGCCTAGGCAAAAATTCTCACCTGCTTTTCACAATTTACCTGAAACACAGTAATTAATTTATTTTTACATTTAATTAATTTGGTGTTTTGTCTCTGAACATTTCTGCCGGAACACCCACCTCAGGCAGCAAATGAATTCTGATGCTCTCCAAAACTTCCATCTTCTTCTTTCCAGCATTCCTCTTTTCTTCCATCTAGTTGATCTAATAAATGATATCACCTGTCTTGTCTTTTTTCACCACCTGTCTACAAGAACATTCCTTCCTCTGAGTTCTCTCACTTGTTAAATCAATCTAGCTGTAATGAAACATGAAGGTCAGGGAAACACCGAAGTTGTGCTCTTATTCCTTTTAAGGCTTCGTGTAGGGATTTATAATTTGCCTTGAAGTTAAGCAAACATTATCTCTCAAATGGTTTTGGGGGCGGACAAGTGTTGGTGAGCTTTCTAAAGATAGAAGTGCTGTGGATGCTTGCTACTGGGAGGAAAGAAAGCCTGCTGGGTGGGAGGGTTACTCATGGACAAGATCTCTGGTATCACACCCCCTACTGATATTCAAATGCCTCAGCCATGCCAGAACAGTGGAGAATATCGAAAGATTGAAATGGGATGCAGTTTTAGAACACAGGATTTTTTTCTCTCCTCTTAGAGGAACATCATAGGAGAAAATTAATCCAGCTTTTCTTAAAGTATTGAAGAATTGGCAAAAATCTTGCCTACTTACAAAATAAAATACATATTTCAGGCATTTTTAAGATGAAAAACTTGAATTTGAATATGTTAAACAATATACCCTCACTGGATGACTTGCAAAAAAATTCTTGATAAAGTATTTTGTATGACAGTAAATGTCACAAAGCCCTAAAAAAATTATTAGAATTCTTTCATTAAATGATGTGATTAGCTGATACGTAATTTGCATTGTATGAAAACTTTTTTTTAGTCATTAAATGCTTGAAAGGCTATATTTCAAAGCTTTTCATATTAATGCAAAATAAAATACATAGCATGAAAGATTTCATTGACTGTATTCACAGCTCCATCACCCTGATAGAAGACAAAGAGTTAGTTTTACATGCTGCGCAGCTTGTTTTATTTGGAAACACAGGGGTTTCCAACAAATGAATTTGCATTCCCTGATGCACGTGCAGGTGTTCTGGGGGGATCTCTGCTGCCCTACTAGCCAGGTTTTTACCCATTTTTTTTAATCAATCAGATGGACAGGTTAGGGACAAAATAAAAACGTTGAAGCAACAGCTGTTTTTGTGAACTCTTAGAGGAGGCACATTCACCAGCAGAATTTTGGAGGATTAGTGAGATGCATCTTACTCTTCTGTTTCCTTTATCCATTTTGGAGAAGATTCAAAGCTTCCCAGAAATATCTGTTCTAGTCATAACTTTGTCTTTGTAACATCTTTGCTGCATACACTTGTCAATCAGTATGTATTTCTTGGGTAAGTGATGTGGAAATCACAAGTAACCACCACAAGAGCTGGTTTGGAATTGAGAAAATAGAACAATTACTCAGAAATAAGGCAGCCTCAGAGCAAAAGGTTAACAAGAAATCCCTTCTCTACCCCGATTTGGTTCAAAGAATCTTTCTGTGCCCGTTACTAAAAATTTGGTAGTCTTTTTTTTTAAAAAAAGTCTATTTCTTTTTCACACAAATCACAAGATATACTCTTTCTGCCAGAACTGTTTATTTCTTCTACTTTGTCTTTTATATATATATTCCTTGATCTTTAATCTCATTATTCTGTTCCTCAACTTGGTCTCTTTTTCTCATTTCCTCACTTACAGCACTATGAAATACCATCATCAGAGATAAGAGGGAACTGATTGTTGCCATAAACACTTGATGAACTATTTTCTGCTAGATGAAATAGTTACTACCTTCAGCCACCATCAGTAGGATGTTTTAATTTTTTGTTGGCAAGTGCATGTTCTCTGGGGAAGAGAGGTGAAAGGAACAGGTGGGAAGAAGCAGCTGGGAATACTAGCCACTGCTCCAAAATCTGCCACAGAGCAGACAGACCAACATTTTTTTTCTCTTTTTCTGACCGAGCATACGAGGTTTTTCAGTCAATCCTGCGGTCTTACATGTTCAGCTCCACAATTATTCTAAGAGAAGTTTAAAACAAAGATGAGCAAGATCCCTTTTCACCATGTCAAAGGAGAAGGGGATGTTTTAACAGTGGAATTAATTGTCTTTGAGACAGACTCTGTCTGCAGGCCAAAGAATTCCACAGACTCTTCAGTTTTCAAGGGTGAGCCTTGCTGTAAATATGTTGTCTATATGGTATTCATTAAAATACCATTATTCATAATGTTCGGTTTTATCCTTTACTTCTTAAATAGGAATTGGAGAATCTAAAGCGTGTACAAAAGCAGGCTGCAGCCAGCCAGAGTGCAACAGAGGTTCGCTTAAACAGGGCCCTGGAAGAAGCAGAAAGGTATAAAGTGGAGCTGAACAGACTGAGGCAAAGTAACAAGGTACAATGGCTTAGAAGAACAAACTCCAATCTGTAATCAGTCTGTAATGCTAGAATGAGACAAAGGGCTTGGTAAGTTATCTCGGACAACACAAATGTAACCTATGCAGGAGGAAGAAATGTCCAGAATAAAGTGATAGTCTTTCTGATTTTCTCCATTTGCGTGGAAATTAGATGTGTTTAGAAAAAGGGAGCATACCTAATACATACACAGGCAAACCAAGGGTGTTATCTTTGAGATTTTATTTTCTTTATTTAAGTTTCAATGTGGGAATATTTTGATTAATCCTATTTCTTTTCAGAAATGTTATGTGTGGCTACTGTTTGTAATTTGGTTAGGTAATGTTAAGTTTCATTGGTTAAAGCACCACTTTCATAAATAATACATTTCTCCTTTTCTTCTTGTGGTAGGATGTAGCTAACCAAGAACTCAAAACAATTGAAGAACTGAAAACAGAAAACAAGAAACTGCAGAAACAAAAGGGAGAGCTAATCACAGGTTTTAAAAAGCAGTTGAAGTTAATTGATATTTTGAAGAGACAAAAGGTAAGGACCAGAGTATTGAAATGTTTCAGTTAACAACTTCTAGCTAAATGTGTCTTTTGTCAAGTAAGATAATCATGTAAACTAGAGCCCCAAGACTGGGAAGTTTCAATGAAGGGGAGCAGCTGCCTCACTTTTATTAGTGCATGTTGCTAAGATTTTGCTATATAGCAAAGGCTGGTCTCCTTGTGAATTGACCCAGTCCTAACTTGGAACACATCCTGTCATGTTGGAGGACTACTACTGACAAGATTTAGGACCAAGAGTATCTATTTGTTCAGGAACAAATACTGTTCAGGTAGTAACAGCAACTCCCTTTGGTGCTGTGTCAGTAGAATCCATTTTAGCATGTGAGATTTTTTTTTTCAGTTTCCCTGCTCCAGGATATTACTTGTTGTATCAGCAGCTGTAACAGCATGCCCTCTCAGGAGTGAGCCATGACATTTTAGACCTACATTCCTCCTGGGTTTTCAAAGTGTGTTCTTGTCTATTAACATTGTTTATTTATATTCTGAGGTGTTCTGTACAGGCACAATTCTGCCCAGGTGCAGATCTTCTTGTGTGTCTGACAAAAAAAAAAAAAACAAAAAACAAAAAACCCAAAACCAAATAAAAACCCAGAGTACTAATTCGAGGTGTGAATTTACTAGACACCTAGAGAAGAGGGGAGTTGTTTCCATCCTTTTGTAATTCCTGGAATACCATGCATACTTTGAATCACACACAATGTAGAAACATCTACATGGCTGCATGGGTGTTTTCATCCCCACTGCACATAGAGCTAGCCTTATTTTGAAAGTCGTTGAATTCTACATTCATTTAATATCTCCCTCAGGGCATAAAAGGGAGGGAAGGGCTACTGCCTCTCAGTTTCTTCAGCAGCTGATGCTGAAATTCAGTAGAGGATCAGTAGTGGAATACTTGCTGACAATTCATGCTGAACAGTTAGTGATACAGTTTTCTTAGAAAGGTGTTATAGTAAAAAGTGGATTAATACTTCAGATAAATACAGTTTTAGCTATATTTTAACTGTTGTATTTGATAAAGCTACACTGATGTCCCATAAAGGAAGGATGTTTTACTTGAAAATAGAAACCTTGGACACTGCAGAGTGGGGAAAATACCTTGTATTTCTCACACTATATTTGTAGCATAAACCCATGAGCATTTAGGTCTTACTACTTCCATCACACCTTTCACTTACTAAATACTTGGGATTGAGTGCTATTACTTCTATCCGTTTTCCTTCTGAGGCTGCATGAGACACATGCAGAGCTCTGGGCTTCACAATTGTCTAGGCAGGATCTTAACATCATAGAGCAGTTCACCTCGAATTGCTTGCTCTGCTGAATCTGATGTGATTCATTGTGGGATGGAGTTACTGTGCTTCTTGCACACTCAAACCAAAGCTATGAGAGCTAAAACAAGAATGTATTTATGGGCAGAAGCACCTTAGAAGGACCAGCCTTTGTGATAAGGAAACAGAACATTTTATTTACTCTTTGAGCTGCAGTGATCACCAGATGTTTTGTAAACACTCTTGAAGACGTTAAGCCCTCCAGAGGAATATTCTGTATGAAGTGGCAACTTTATGTAAGGAAATACACATACTTATCCTAACAACTGGGGATTGCAGTATGGAAATATACCCTTGAATTTGGAATCCCTCTCCAACACAGGACAAAGGAGGATAGGTAACCCGAATACGAGGAACTGGGGCTGCTCATGCATTTCTAGTGAAAGAGAAATTTTCTGGCAGTAGCAGGATGCAGAGGAGATGTTGGGGATTCATCTAACAGAAACACTGCTAGCTTAGCCTTTGGCTGGCCCTCCTAGCTCTTCAAGTTTGAGAATGAACAAATACAGCATTCACTCAAAATACCCTCCATACATGAGGTAACTCATTGTCCTCTAGAACGTGAATTCAGAGAGATGGATGTCGAAGAGCAGTATTTCTGTTTGACTATGAACCAAAACCATAGTCTCAGATAAATTTCACAAAACTCCATTAAGTGTATTTTAAAAATTATGAATACTGTGTTAGAACTGCAGATAATAGAGGAAGCCACTTACCGTTTCTTACAAAAAACATTACTCATAGAAAATGCTGTTGTCCTTTCAGAAGGCTGTGATTGGAAGAACCTAAAAGAGAATGGGGCTAACTCTGCCTTTTATAGCTCCTGGCAGAAGGCACAGGGGAAGGCAGCTAAAGCTCATGTGTACTCAATATACACAATTACCTGAAAAATTTCAAGTCTCTTTTGCACAAGCCTTTTGTTGAATGAATGAGGAAAACCTGATTTGGGCTATTCATGTAATTATGCGTGCCAGATTCAGATGTGCGTAGCAGTACAGCTAGCCTAAAGGTGAGAATATGCTACCACATGATGAATGATAGAGGGGAAAAAAAACCCCAAAGGTATTATCAGTAGTAGGATGAGTTACGGCTGGCAGTAAGTAGTTGCTAGTGTTCCAGTTGGTGTCTTCAGACCATTCTCTGCTTGTCTTGAGATGAAGGATTTAATAGAGCATCTTAGTTTTAAAAGGGATTAAGGAAAGTTCGTCTGAGCTTCTCAGAGCTGGAGTGTGTTACACTGCCTCTGGGAACCACAGTAGGCTTTAATGTAATTTTGAACTGACAGTATGTCTGTGTATTAAAAAACCCACCTCTGTTGAGACTCCTTGTAGACAGGAATTTTTTTGTGTGGTTCAAAACATAGCCATTTTATTAAAACTTGCAGTAAAAACTATTTAGCTGGGACCCTGTCCTTTCTACTTTGAATGATGATAGGTAAAGAGATTATACTCTGGTGTGGTGATGAGAAAGTGTGGCACAGCTGTGAGCTCTGCTGTCACATCAGCTGGAACCCAGGGAGCTCTCAGGGCATTCCAGCTGCTACACCTTTGTGGTGGGTAGCTCTGTGCAAATACACTGACCATTTAGTACTTGCTGTCTCATCAAACACTGATGATCTTGATGACACTTTCCCAAACAATTGCATGATTTCAACAGAAAATAACCTTGATTTAAGTTAGAAAGTTCTGTTTGTTCCTCTTAGTGTTCCATTTAAAGCTATGTGCTATATCCTGTCTAGTGGAAATACAAATCCAGACTATTACTGTATGATGTTTAAACATATATATGTGTCCACACAGTGGGTGCATGTGTGTAGATGTATGTGCCATAACAGACCCCAGATGTGTGGTGTGATACCTGGCACCACAGCTACCACGGGTCAGCTCCAGGCAGCTCTCGTCAAGGTGTAATACCGTTACTCTTTGTTTTATGCCGACTGTTAATTTTTTAATGGTGTTACATTATTTTTTTAAAATCACACATATTAGAAGTGCTAGCACGCTGAATCATAATGATGTGTTTGATCTGTAATAGCTTTGAAGTTAAACTGTACATTGATCAGCTGGAAAGAATGCATACCCATTTTCTTAAACACATCCTTTAGAGGTCACAAGAGCTGGCAGATTTTCAGTAATTTCCATGCTTCATTAAAACTGAGAATTTTTTTTTAAAAGCAATATGAGGAACTAAGAAGAGACTGTCCTGTTTTACTAGAACTGAAGTTGCAATCTTCAACATAAAATTTATCACATTATTCCTACACTATCAACTTTTGCAGAAAAATATGAATAGCAGCTTCAGCTTGAACAGGTGAACATCCATCAAAACCATAGTACAAAAAACCAGAATGATATATTTGAAGCCCCTTTCAGCTATACCAGCTACACAGGACTTTGTATTGGTCATTCTCACTGCTTTACCTTCTGCTCCTAATCTTTTTTTTTTTTTTTCTCCTCTTTAAGATGCACATTGAAGCTGCTAGGATGCTTTCTTTTACTGAAGAGGAATTAATGAAAGCTCTTGACTGGGGAAATTATTAACTCCCACAGCTTCTGTTTGGAATACACAGCAGCTGGTACATTACTTTGGCACTGTATATGAACACTTTTTAATAGTTATTAACTGTACATGCCAGTGAATTGATTTTGTTTATTGTGCTTATGCTTAAATTGTTTAACTTCTATAAGCCTGACCGCCTGTGTTGAAATACCAAATTCCTACTGAAATTTCAGGCCAAACTGTCCATTCTGTAATGAGCAGAAAAGCACAGATTGTGTAAGGAATATCCCAACAAGTGGACTTTGTTATTGGTTTGCTCTATTTTAGCATTTAAAACTAGACCTTATCTAAGGTAATATTCAGTCCAAAGAAGTCAGGGTTTAGTAAGATAGAGACTAATGGCTGGCAAAACCATACCTGGGACTCACCCCTCACTATCCAGAGAGACTCCATAATCTGATACAGTTGTATTGTGTAAAATTAGTACTTTAGTCAAGGTGAATATATTAAATTGTTCCCCGGCCATCAGCAGCTGCTTTGGGATACAGTCAGGAGTGATGGCTCCCTATTCACAGGTGCTCTACAAGCATTACATCCTTTAAGATTTCACCATGTCATCATTATAATCAAGAACTAGATAAAAGTTGGAGCACAGATGAGCTGAGCATATCATCTGTACGTTAATGAACAGGAGCAATAAAAGCCTGTGCTGCTTGCATGAACCTCTGTCAAACCTCAGCTATTTCAATGGCTTCCTCCCTCAGAGTAACTGAATAGGAACATGGCACATAAAACATAAGTTTATGCACTGAAAGAAAGGTATAAATGGTGATTCTGACCTCAAAATGGAGAAATGTCTCACCTTAGATCTTACCAGCAAAGTAACATGAACTAACAGTGAAACAAGTACCTCAGACCTACCCCTCTGAGATGAGACAAACTGCATTTAAATTCATATTTTAATAGTGTGATGCCTGTGCAGATAAATCTTTACATTAGTACCAAAAATAGTGCTTGAAGACAATTTTATATTCCATAGTGAAATATGCATATGAATTCACACTAGCTTAGGTTTCTGCAGAGTTGCTGGAGAAGACATTTTTAACATTGCTATGTCACTGAGAATAACTGAGAACTCCATACGGTTTATTGATGAAAAAGGCAATTACAACGTACACTTAAATAAAACTAACTGCTCATCAATTTAGAACTCCAGTTTTAAAATGGAGACTTTTAATGATATTAAAACGGAGTTCCTCACTGTTAACAGCAAATGGAAATTTTCATTAGAAATCAGATGACACCTAGTGGAAAACCAGGAGATGAGATGCGGGAAATTTCAACTCTCTTCTGAAAATGCATAACCTCTTCTCTTCTGATAAGCCAATCTAAATTCCTCTCCAAGCATGTTAATGTCATGTTCGTCTTTGAGTATTCCCTGCAATAAGGGGAAAAAAAGCACACTGGAAGGTAAAACAAAGTAGAGATATTATTGCGGATCTCTGAAATTTTCTATGGAAGTGAATGTAATAGCTTATATCCATGGTAGCAGTGTTACCTTTGAAATAAACAGCCCTGAAAACCATTACAAAACTTCAATAAATGAGTTTCAAATTGGTGTGCTTGGTGCTAACCTAGAAGAGCTGCTTCGTTTGTTCTTCACACAAATTATGATGAGAACCCCATAAAGATTCCAACTCGAGCACTACACAAAGGACAACATTTATCTGCATTCTCTAATAAGAGTGATTGTAGGCAGCACAGCAGAGGTGCAGGTTTAGTAAAATCAAGGAACTGCATTGAAAAGAGGCACGGGCTGGGGTGGGGCTCTACCTCCACCTTTAGTTGTGCTGAAATGAGCACCAGAGAGCTGATATAATAAGGATACCCACTGACTTCAGAAATATACATGGTTCTGCAATTTCACCTTAAACTATCCATAATTTACAGGACAAACATTTAAAGCATTTGAAATACAATTCACTTACTCGAGGAAGATAACCCAATAATTTAGACGCATGCTCTTTCAAGAGTTTCTGTCTCTCCTCTTCAACAATTGCACGGATGGTTTCTTGTCTTCTCTCATCTAACTTTCTTTCTTCGAGTTCGCGCTCCTACAACAAACACACAAGTTTCTGTAACTGTTTGGTTTCAGCTCTGTTTCTACCAATATCCATCACAGTGTAAAGGGAAAATTTTTTTAGTGGAGTAAATTTTGAAGTTGTACTTATTAACTCCTGGTCACAGAAAATCTGTTTGAAAGAAGTATATGTAAAAAACCACAAAGCACAGTTTAAACAGTACCTATTTGGTGACTAGAAGAAAAATCTCAGACCAAACAGAAGCCTGTACGGCAAGACATGGGGCTAGTCTGCTATGTAACTGTTTGGTCTCATACTAGAAGTCCTTATAAAAGTAGTTAACTGATAAATTCTGGTTCCTTCTTGCCTGTCAGACAAGATAGTCTGTTCTGCTCTACTGTTCTAAACCAGGAAAAGGAGAAATGGGCATGTATTCTCATGCTGATGACTTCCACTTCACATTACACATGTGACCGATACCCTATAAACAGGTCTGAAAACTGAAGTATAAGATTCCGTGACTTGTTTTCAGTTTATACCTTTTCTTCCTCAGACTATAATTCACAAGACTTAGTCTAAAATCAGGGCTGGGACTTCCCCTTCTCACACATCCTGTCAGCACTGCTGATCGGGGACGCTGAACTGGACAACAGTTGTGTCACTGATCTCATGGCTCCTGAATCACAGAATTGTTTAGGTCGGAAAAGACCTTTAAGGTCGTCAAGTCCAACCATGAGTACTTCAGTCCCTGAAGAGGCATGTGCAGAGCACATCAGGTATTACAGGGGTCTAGGGATGTTGCTGACTCTAACCTCTTGAGCTACAAAATGTTAGCTCTAAAAAGACTTCTTTGTCAGCAAACCAAAACAAATGCCTGCTGCTGCCCTGCACATTTCTCTGCAATTCCCCTGACACCTCCTCCCCCCAGTAACAACAGCCTTGTCACTGAGGATAGCAGAAGCATTCTCATATTGAAACATTTCTGCTCAAAGCAAAGGCCAATGTGGAAACTCTTACTTTATCTGCAATAAACTGTTTGCGACGATCTTCAATAATTTTTTCCACAGCCCTTTTGTGTTCAAGCTCTTTCATTCTCCGTTTCTGAGCATTCATCTGTTCAATGCGTTCATCCTCTGCAAACTTGGCCAACATCTGTTGCCTGAAGGCTTCTTCCTCTTCTTGCATAGCTTGTTGCACTATCTTCTTTAAAGCAAATTGCTCTTCATATGTTTGCCTTAACTCTAGGCGTTGCCTTATTCTCTTTTCAATTTCTGCCTATAAAGGAAATTTAATAAAATGCTGTATTACTGAACATACTGTGGAAAATTTTGATCATCATCAGCCAATCTACTCGATTTGTCCTGGAATAAATTTACTGTAGCTGTTACCTTCTAGCATAAATAACTAGAGCAAACACCCCATATCTGTCAGTGCTCTCCAGTATTAACCAGTTTGGCAAATGTCTCAAAAGTCTCAAAATCAAGTCCAAAACAAAAGGAGATTATTTTTTTCCACTAGCATGAAGCGAATCAACAAGACAGTTGGCCTGAAGAACAGGCCTCTAAAAATAACAGTGTCACATATCTCAGCCTGTGTTACATTTTGGTTGTCACCCATAGCAAGGTAGGACAGAGTGTGCACAGGCTTATAGGAAAAAGCAAATGGACATGCAAAAAGCAAGCAGTTAATTAACCTTCTTAGCTTAAACCTGAACTTGAAAGTTACTGGCATTCTCCTTCATGAGATAAATAAATGTATAAAGGAGACCACAAGGGTATTCAAAATCTTCAGTTATCTTCCTGGTTGAAATTAAAACATAAATACGTTAGGAACAGCGAAGGAAATTCAAATGACAGAATTTTCCCTCCAAAAACTAAGTTAATATACAAACTGCTTCTCTGAGTAAGAACATTTAGGAAATAGTGTTGAAAATGGACATTTTGTGCCAGAACAGAATTGAAAACAATTCAAATTCATTTAATACACCTAAAACCATGTCAAAATTAAGCTTTTCATTTTGAGACAGCTCACAGACCAAAATGGGCTCAAGGAGTCCCTCAAAAACATCCCAAAGTCAGAAATAACACCGCAGACTTAGCAAATCCAAAGTGTGGTGGAAACGTAGCCCAGCCCAGCCCATGAACAACCCTGCCAGCACTGTTAGAGGAGAAGTTGCACAAAGGCGAGTTAAATGGCCTCTGAAGAGCATCCTCAGAGCAGAAGAAACTCCATGTGGGATATACTCTCGCTAAATGTTCTTCAAGCATCACGACTCCAGGGATAATGTCCGAAGACTGAAGGAGCAGTGCTCTGGCACAAAGACATCAGAAGAAGTGAAGGGACATAGGATGACTGTGTAAAATACTGCCCCCTGCATCCACTTCACTGCTTATTTTCTAGATCAGCAATTCAAAATGATTTCATTTTCTCTTTAAATTTTCGTATCTGGTCTGTTTAAATTAGATCAGTCTACCCACAGCTACAACTGTCCCATAAATTACATGTTTTCCTGTGTATACACTACTATTTTTATTTTATAAAAGTTTCATCTAGACTAGCTCCACTAACCTGAATGTTCTGCAGGAATAATGGCAAAGTTACAATACTCCTCTCCATTTGGATTTTCCCTTAAGAGTTGATGCACAGTTACACACAACATACATACGACACATAAAAAGCTGGTATCTGACAAGTACCGAAATATCTGTAAATGTATCTGCAGAAGCCCAGGGAAAGTGAAATATTCCCCCCAATACATCGGTACCACTACATCTACTTGCCAGCACTTACCATCTCCTTCTTCCTTTCTGCCTCCGCTTGTTCTTCCAGATACAGCTCTTGGCGGATTTGTTCCAGTTCCTCACGCTTCTGTTGTTCTCTTTTCAGATTCTGGGCCATCTATGACAGGAAGGAAAGATTTCTAAACAAAAGACAAGAATGTACAATAATTTTTTCAACAAGTTCAATTTTTGATACCATGTTTTGAAGTCTTTGTTTTTTCTCCTCAGTGTCTCGAGCTTTAGCCATCTGATCTTCTTCTCTCTGGCGCTGAATGCTGGCAAACTCCATAATTTTCCTATTTTCTTCTTCCATCTCTTCCTGTTTCCTTCTCCTCCAGATAGCTTTTTCTTTTTTAAATTCTTCAATGTACATCTGAGTTGCTCTCATTTTATCTAACTTCAGTTGTTTTTCCCTGTAGAAGATAGAAAAAAATATTTAAGGAGTTATTTAACATACTGCAGAATAACACTAAACAGACCATGTGCTTATCATTAACAATGTATTCCAGAGACTAAGATTTAAATGACTCTCCTTACCCATTCAGCTGGAAACTAGATATCTAAATTGAAAATACTTATTAATGAATTACCCCAAAAAGAGAATCTCATGGATCACACCTGTCTTCAGGAAGACAGACTGTACACATAGGTACTCACTACTACTGCATTTTATACACGCTCCATCAGAACAGAAAGAAGGAAGCCCAATAGCCTAAATAACCAGAATCTCCTAAACTTTTCATTTATTTATTTATACACACTGAACTCTTTTCCCCCACCCCACTACCACCCTGTCCTCAGAAACCTCCTTTTCTATCCCTGTCCCAAAGACAGGCGTGCAGCACATCTTGTGAAGAGGTTGGAACATGAGGTGAGGCAGAAATCAGTGACACAGTCATTTCCAGCATGATGAGCCAAATGGAAGCACTCCCTGAAATAAGCTGGATTTTGTATTTGGGGAACAAGGACACAAGACTGACTGGAATGACAGGAACATTCTGATGTTTGAACAGCAAAATCCATGTAAGTCAGTCTCTTGTTAGTAAAATGTGACCAAGGAAAACTAAAATGGGCCTTAGTCTATGAAATAAATGTATGCAAATTATTTTTCTATACAAAATTGCATGAGTGCTTTTAAATTAATAAATAATAAAAATTG